TGGGCAACAGAGTTAAGACCTTGTCTCTAAAAAATAAAAACAAAACATCATGAAAGTGATTATGTATCAAAAGTAAGATTTTATAATTGCATAATACTAAATTTTATGACCATATCATAATTTAACTGTCCCCTTCTAAAAAGAGTCATTTCAAACTGTCTACTTTTAAAATAATAGGTGGGGGGGGGGTTATATCTTTGGAAAAAATGCATTTCTGATAACTTCTATAGTTCTTAGAAATGGCATTACTGACTAGATCAGATTATGAACATTTCTAAGGCTTTGGATATTATCCTCAAGAATGTGATACCAACTTCCACTCTTAGCAAACAACACATGAGAACAGTCATTCATTCCATCTCTGAAAACAGCAAATACTATCAATTTCTTGGTAATTTTTTTAAATGATAAAATTAAAGGTTTCATATTAAACCAGAGACTTCACAGAAAGTACACTTACTAATACTTTACCTTCTTCAGATTCTTTTTAAATCTTTCAATAGGAAGAGGTTTGCCATCATGGAAGTTGGTAAGGATTACTGCAATGACCGTAAGAGTTTTACCCTTCAAAATGTTTTTAAAAGACAAATGGTGAGATTCCGAAATCTAGTTTCAAAATCAGAAAACATTCTAAAACCAGTTTTAAAATCAAGTAATCAAATATTCAAGGCCACAAAGTGTAATGTTTATAACATTAAACAATATACATGTTGATAAAAAGCAAGTATTTAATTTAGTTAAGAAATGCCTTCACCCACTACATTATTAAGAATTATTAAATGATACTATGAAATTCTATGTGCATCTCTTATATATAATGCCATTAATTGAATTACTTTCCTTCTAAGATTCTACATGTAACCCAAGACAATAAAGTTTACCACAAAATCATTCAAAACTTCTTGTTCACCATCAAATTCAGAGCTAATTCAAAATGATTAGTAATACCATTATGCATATGAGAAGATAATCATTAAATTTGATTTAAAAATACTACCAAGACTCAAGAGCCATAACGTATCAATGAAGCATACAAAACATGGTATTTCTTATGCCTTTTTCTCAAACAAGAACATAAATTTTCAATATTTTCTGAAGCTTAATTTATAGTTAGCGATATGAAAATAATCTCTGGCAATTTTAGAGCAGTATAAAATAGTTTTCAAAGTGTGGTCCATAAGCCTCTGGCAGAATTCCCACAACACTTTCAGGAAAACATGAGGTTGACTTATTTTTATCATACTACTAAGTAAAATCTTATTTGTAGTGACATCTGCACTAATGCCACAAAAAGCAATGGTGGAAAAAGTGCTTGTAGCTTAGCAGAAAACAAAGCAGTATGCTGAAGTAGTGGACACTGCTCCAAACCACCACATACAGTCAACAACAAAACAAAAAACATAAAAAGCCAGTTTAGGAAATGTTCCTGATTAAGCAGTATGCATTAACTTCATTAAATTTTGTCACTTTTTTTCATACAACACCATTTTTATTTAAAAGAATGACTGACAACTGCCATCACAACTGAGTATCTGGCAGACATTTTCTTCAAAATGAACAAAGTGAGGCCATTATATTCAAGAGAACAACTGAGAAGATTTGTTGTCAGTGATAAAAACTGAGTTTTCAATCAAAAACTAGAATATTAAAAAATTTC